AAAGTTCGAAAGACAAAAGGTCTACAGAACAAAAGGTTTAAGGCCAAAAGCTGATGTAAATATTCTGAAACTGATTTGTACTGACTTCAAACAAACTGTCAAAAGTAAAATATGATTTTATATTATTTTTCCTTCTATTTTCAGCTTTTAATACTGCAATGTTGAATGATATCATAAAAATTACTATCTATTCAATATACTAATCTTTGCAAGATTAATCATGAGAATTATTCGAGATAATTGGATTGAAATTTGCATTTAAGACTTTAAGTTTTTTAAATGTACACTTCGGACATTGGGAAAATTGGAAGTTTTAGAATTTTCAAAAAATCTATTAGAAATCGAAATCTTATATTGTTATTAGGTTTTTACTTCTTTTATACATAATTAAATTACACTCATTCTTAAAAACAACTGTTTTGGAATTTCAACCTTTTGGCTTTCTACCTGATGTTCTTTAGATCTTTTGTCTTTCGACCTTTTGTATTTCGACCTTTTATCTTTCGACCTTTTGTCCGTTTCGACCTAATGTCCTTTCGACCTTTTATGTTTCGACCTTTTTTCTTTCAAACATTTGTCTTTCGACCTTTTGACTTTGACATTTTGTCTTTCGACCTTTTGTCTTTCTACCTTTTGTAATAGATCCGAATCTCGATTCGAATTTATGTTAGTATTAGCAAAGAAGAATGCTAAGGTAAAATAGTCGGAAGAAGAAAACAATATTTTAGTGTCCTTTTTCACGGTCCCTTTCATCCAATGAATACCCCCAAGGTATGCAAGGTATTAGATCTGTTCCTGTAGTTGCTTTTCTGTAAGGATGCTTGTTTGTATAGGCCGTGGATAATTGCAAAGTTAATGCTTACTTGGCATGATATAACTGAAGAAAAATAATTAATTCTAGATAGAGCTGAAATTAGGGCGTAAAAGCTTTTGTAAACAATGACTTCTCTCGATGATTTCTCGAAAGTCATGGCTGTCCCTAACAAATCATCGACATAACCAGCGAGTAAGAGCAACCGTAACGGTCGTTGTCATTTGCGCGACTATTTTAACAGCGCACAGCGCTCTCATTTTAGTTTAGTCACTCTTCTCCACACCGGTCGCTGCTATCGCAGTTATCAATTTACTCGCCGTAGTCCGTACCAGTAGTGAGCATTTTGACATTTCTACGAATAGCAACCTTTCTCCCGCGCTGCTATCGCGCTGCTATCGCGCTGCTAAATTTGGTAACGCGCTTCTCACCGAGAAGCCGACTGCTATTTTAGTTACTCGTATGGCAACCCCCGATACGGTAGCTGCGCTATGATGAGGGCTGCTAAAATGAGTTTAGCAGCGTACCGTTACGGTTGCTCTAAGGGAAGACTTCCCCTACCCAATGGATATGTTGGTTTGTGTAGGCCTGCCTTGAATTCCTACACGAAACGAAAATCAATTATTTAATTCATGTGTTTCACTTATACATTTTTGCCAAAGCATCAGCCTTATACATTCCATAAGACAAACCACATAGGTCCTATTAGAATGCATAAAAGGTATGTGTGACCGCTTATACATTTCATTTGACGCATGATCTTCATTAACTTTTTGCAAGGCGTCTGCTTATTAGTTGACTTATACAATTTACGAATAATCAGCAATGGAAATTTGCCAAAAGGTATAAGGAGATTTCTATCCGTGTAGAAATTAACGAGAGAATTCATTGTTTACAAAGGCTGTTACGCCCTAATTCCAGCTCTATCTCGAATTGTTCGCTTCATTAATCGATTACTCGATTATTCGAATAAAAATCGGACACCCCTACTGTCTATAATCGCATACCATGTGAAATAGGAAGGCATTGAGACAATGGCCGGCGAAGTTATGAAGTGCAATTCCCATGTAAATATTTGAAAAATCATAGTAAATTTATTGATTTTTTTTCAAGTTAAAATCAGTTGCATGTTTTATTACATCAGCGAAAAATGTGGCAGTTCGAATAGCAAAACTTTAACTTGAACTATGGATGATTGAATTTCAGACAAAGGACTAAAATGCGATTATTCTACTTGATGGGACAAACTGGCTTGATGATGTTTTAACATTTTTCATGATCAAAGTCCGTAGCTTTATCACATAACATGAGAGTAGATGCCAATTGATAGAGGAGGGCACTGTTATCTCAAAATTAACGAAAATTCATTTGGGACTGATATGCGATTCAAGACACTTAATTTATACATCCACCGTCAATATCAATTATATGGACCGTTCATAAATAATGAAACAATTTGAAAGCGACCGGAGCTAATCACAAATGAAGCCCTCACGGTGACTGAAAAAACACGAGTGCTGAAAGTTGGTATTAGTATTTTGGTATCTGGGTGTCCGTGTTAGGGATCCGCTAGCATCCACACCTAGTAGTCAAGGCAAGCAAGAAAGTTCGATCTATTTTCAACAGCATACTATTGAAAAAACAGTTAGAATTTTAATACACCACATATCTGACACCAAATCTGATTCTAATGGTACATTAAGGATAATTATAAGCGTTTAAAACCTTACATGATTTCGTGACGCTACTTTAAGAAAGATGCAACGTTGCATAACGTTTGCTAGCCACAAATGAAATCATTAGCAAAACAGTAGCAATTACATTATTCACGGAAGCACACTGTTATTTACACCGAAACGAATCAGAACAGCACTTATCAATGTCCTTTATCGTGTCACCTGACGACGACGACGACGATCGTCCTGGACGAATCATGATAGCCTAATGGAGACTGCCACGCCACAAAAACAATAACAACAGGTGATTAGCAAACGCAGTTCTGTTTTTGCATCGCATGTGAAACTTGGTCCTGTTCCCCTCTCTCGCAGTCCGTGTCCGCTGGATCCTAAATTTAGAACAGCAGTGGCGATGGTGGCTGCGGTGCGGTGGCACGTGGACGACACTTTCCCAGCTGAACCAATAACGACGGGGTGAGACCGTCACACAAGTGGAAACACATCATCATGGTCGGTATAATGTATATTTGAGTAAGCATTTGCGTAAATAAAACCGGATAGCTGTCACAACAGCGATATCCGGCGCCTGAATGGAGGCAACGCGGGTCAAGACACACGGAATAAAATGTCCCCACCGCTTGAGCCGAGTTGAGATGTTTGTTTTGGTATCGACCGAACATACACCCCTAACCTCACTTTTGTTTGAGCTGGGCGAAGAAAATTGCGTTGTCCGCCGTTCCAAAGACTACTTGATGACGATTACATAACCATTTCTGATGTGCCGATTCGCAGCAAGCCATGCTTTCATTTCCGCCATTCCGGAAAAATGGGTTTCGAGTTCGGGGGAATCAAATTTCCGGCAAATCGTTGTTGTTTTCCACCAGTAGTGTGGGGGGTGGTAGTAATCCGACCACAGTTTTTCGATCAGAGCCCTCCAGATTATGCAAAGCAGACTGGTAAGTAGAGGTAAGTAGTGGGCTTTGGTTTGTCCGGAGTAGCAAGTTGCAAAATGGAGAACTGAAATGAAAATGATAGCTCAATTTGCTGTGCTTGAATGTTTTTAATTGCACCAAGGGTGCAGAAGAATAAGAAGCAGAAGCGCATTCGGTTCTCTTTGTGATTTAGAATTTCAATGGAAATGAAATGGGTCGTCGTTAACAATGAAGGATTCTCGGTCGTCGTCGTCGTCGTCGTCGCTTTAAGCACTTGTGAATTTATGGAACAACAATAAAGTTGGCAATTTGTCACAGGAGAAGCTTTGGCTTGAAGTTTCTTTGTTTGCTCTATGTGCTCAATGTATCTTGAGAAATTTATTTCAATAGAATTCGCAAGGTGGCCGATTTAATCACTGCCTCTTACTTTTGTTTAAGAATTAAGAATTTACACTGGGCAGTCCAAAAAATACGTCATAAAAATGTGGAGGCCTGCATCAAGAAAATTTATAAATTAATGTAATGTAGAATCACCGACAAACCGACATGAAACTTAATTCTGACTTATGCTCGAAAATCGTAGACGGCCGATTTAAATGTGTAGTGATCCGAACTGTCAAAACCATAGGATTTTTTTTATCTAGATAAAAATAATTTGTCCAGAATAGATCAGACACGAACCAATCCATAACTTTTGCATGCGGGTTCATGGCTTAGCTAAATATTTCCCGCGAACACGGAACCAGATGTCAGTAGTGTGCTTTGGTCAAAAATGTTGCTGTTTTTGCTATGGTCATTCATATCGGTTTGTCGGTGGCAGAATGTTTCGATGCACGCGATCAAAATATTAACATGATTTCAAGCTGAACAATGCATTAGGTCCTAAGTAACTTTGACAGATTCTCTTCGACGACTTTCTCTTTGCATCCTCACGGTCATGTTAAGACTTTTCCAGCTATTTTCTAGCTAACGAAGCGAAAGAGAAAGTCGATGAAGAGAATCGATCAATCTGACTTAGGACCTAATGCATTGTTCAGCTTGATTGGCCATTCTGAGTTAATCATGACATTTGATCTTGTAAAGCAACAAATGAAAAAAAAAGTTGATAGTAGTTATTAATATGTAATTCAAATACATCCGTCACCCCTTGCATTGGGCCACCTGTTTGTCCGACATGTCTTTAACCTAAATGTCAATTTACTGTTTTCCCACGTGGGCAACAATCAAGAATAATTATTTCGTCGTAGTTCAGATCAGTGTGAAAGAGTAAGAAGTTTTTTTTTCTGTCATACCTCTGTCTGTTTTACTGCTGTCAGTTTGTCCAAAAAAATGTCAAAACCATGTGGGCTACTGTGCATCTATATGTGCTTGACAGGGATAGAGTCCCCACGGTATTCCCTCTAAAACGTGTGTAGGGTTTAAGCGAAGCGAAGACTGGCAACTTTGCCAGAATCCAAGCGACAGAAACAATAGCGCTGCGCTTGAGTGAAGGTGGAAGCAACGCATAGAAAAATGAGCAATTACACAAACCTTTATTTTGAGGATGGAATCTTTGCTATCAAATTCGTTCGAAGTATTTACCTTTGAGCGGCAGATGACGCGATTGTACCTGTCTCATAGCGTCCGTATGAAAAAATGGAAATGTTGCCAGTCTTCTTGATTTGCTGTCTTCGGTTTAAGTCAAATACGAGTGGTTTTGTTTCGTTCTGTCTGAAGACCCCTTTGTCTGAAGACAATCGATTTTACTCTCGTTCTAGTTCGACATAGGAAATATTTGCAAGTTCAGCAATCTTGGTAAAAAAATGGTTATAGTTTTTGTAAGCTATAAACAAATCGTACAAGTTTAGAAAACTTCGTATAAATGGACGCAACTTTCCAGCAATTGGCAAAACTTTCCACAAATTAAGAGAACTACATAGAGGCTCAGCAATATGTTAAATAGATTGAGAAGAAGTTCAGGGAGCTTTATGTGAGATCATGGATTTTAATTAAAGAAACTTCGTAGAAGTACAGTAACCTTCGTAAAAGTTTTATAGAGCTTAGTTGATATCCATGGATTATCAATATGATTTCAATAAAATTCTCTGGATGTTTGTCTACAGGACTGCAGATGACCCTGGATGGTGATCCAAAGAACCTCAAGGGCATGTTGAAACCTTTAACTTGCTACCGATTATTAGCTTGCTCCCGATGAATAGTCTTCAAAATTCCCTGGAGTTTCCCGTCGCCTTGAATGGCTGAAACGGTATATTATATCTATTGACAGTTACCAGACCTACCGAAAAGTGCAAAAATCAAACCCAATTCCATCGCAACCTGTCACAGCTGCCAGGGTGGCCTCTCCATATCTTCAACCATCTTTGAACTTTTGTGCGCGTTATCTAAACATTCATAACCCCGCAGGTAATCCCAGGATCCCATCACCGTCGTACGAGGAAGAATGTCCACCTACCTGTCTGTCGCCTAGCTATTGTGAGCTAATCTCTTCCCTAGAACTTTGGCACCGAAAACTACCTCTTTCGCTCGCTCTTTGGTCCTCTCTTTACACATTATCATGAAAGCTAACACGGTCCCTCGACTTGGTGGAGCCCCGCGCCGAATGCGCACTGTACGTCCGGTTGAACCGCTGCTGCTGTTGCCTCTCCAGATCAAAAGACCGCCGTGGTCCGGTATGATGATGCACTGTACTGTTCTTGCCACCAATACCACCAGCACCACTACCTCCTGGCGTCATCTGCGGCTGGGACTGCGGCAGCGGCGGTTCGTAGCCACTATCCCGTTTGGCGGAAGCGTAGCTCGAGTTGCTGCGCCGGTTTGAAGAGTTCCGCACAATGTGCGGTGATACGGGGTGCGGATTCTGCGAACCCGAACCTGAACCCGCTACCGCCACTGGCGGCGGAGGTTCCTCCTCAAAGTAGTCATCAAAGTTGGTGGAAAATTTGAACTTGGAGTTTTGGCGCGACAGGTAGTACTCATAGTTCTCCCGCTGGATCATCTCCTGGATGTCCATGCTACGTTCACGCTCCAGCCGGTCAATGATTTCCATGTCCCTCGAAAGGGTACTCAATGATCCCTTCCGGGAGGAGTACTCACTATCGGTAGCTGAAATTATCGAAGGAGTTCCCTTCAGGATGCCGGAGTCCTGCTTGGAAAGAGACCCGTATCGAGCCGGCCGCCGTTGGTAGATGTCCGAATCCGAATCGTTCGAGTCGTTATTGCCTTGGTAGTACGGGGAAGCCGACTTGTACAGAACGTTCTGCCGAGGGACGGTATGCAACGGTTCGTATAGTTCCGGAGCGACCACTTCCCGTTCGTTGATGTTGCAGTCCGTGCTGGAGGTTACGTTCGAAAAATGCCCCGCTATCGATGAGCAGTAATCGTCTTCTTCTTCCGCTGGCTTCTTGTCTACGGTTTTTTGATTAGGGATCGGTAGGGTTCTCTCGCTCGTCCTTCCGCTACTGCTGGTGGACTTGAGCGAGGATCGCTGAACCTTGGTTCCCGCTGAGTTCCGGCTGTGCACCGAGGGAGTCTTATCGAAGTTGCTATGTTCGATGCGCAACGGTGGTGGCAGTTGCCTTCGAGGACGCCCGGCCGAGGAACCGGTGCCACTCTTGGCCGCCATTGCCGAGATCGAACTCTCCGCGATGCTACTTTCGACCGTGGACTGCTGGGTCTTGGTGCTGATTCCGGCTGGCGATTTGGACCGGTCGATCGACGGTAGAGACTTGACCCGCGGATGAACCGGAGGATGGGAAGTGACGTCCTGCGATGGCGCTGAATGGCCGGTGACCATGCACATCTGGGTGGACGATAGGGGCGTTTTGACACCCGCTGGAGAGCTCGTTTCATCTAGCGATTGCTCGGACTTGGTACCGGTGTTGCGACGGGATGAGAGACGCAGGTAGCCCCGGAGGCGCTCCTTGGCCGGTCTGCAATGGAAAACAAAAGGGGGATTGTAGACTGTAGATTTCACTTGTTGGAATGAACGAAGGGCTGGTGCAAATAATAACGAGTTCCGGAGGTTTCCGGAGATATTGCTTGAATTATATAATTATATCATTTTATTTAAGATTCCAATCATCAGAAAAATCCACATTGTACTAAGGCTCTGAACCATTTGGCGGATTTGTTAACTTTCGGTTAGTTATTGATTGGGTTTGCTATCCGAGCGTGCTTATTTCTGACAGACAAGAAGTTAAATTTTGACAGCCGGGGCTGAGTTCTGCTTGAAAACCGATCGATCGGTAACACAGGGATTTTCGAACATCAGAAATAACTTTCGAAATGTCACTTTTAACCACGAGTTAAATTTAACTCGGCAAATGGTTCACAGCCTAAATTACCAGCTTAGCTTGTTGGAAAGGGGTAAGTCACTCAGCACAGTATGCCGATAGTTGATTCGGCACAGCTTGGCACATCCATCGGCACAATCTCGAAGGCATTGGATTGTTTATTAAATAAATTGGAAGCACTGCTGCACAGCTGTCATTGAAGTTTGACTGCGTATTTCAGAAAAATACTCTAACTGTATATGCTAGAGGAATTCAGACCAGAATTTCACTTTTAGGATCATATTTAAATTCGAAATGTAGGCTTCCGAGGGCTGTCGATTGCTATCGATGCCGGTCACAAGCCTTTCAGCTACTACGCATATGGAGTGTACTACGAACCAGAATGCATGGGCAGTTTGGATGGATTGGATCATGCAGTGGTGGCGGTTGGATACGGAAAACTCAAAGGAGAAGATTACTGGCTAATCAAAAACTCCTGGTCCAACTACTGGGGCAACGATGTTCATGTTGAGGTACTTGTTGAATACGTCTACCGTCACCAGGGAGGCCTTCTTGATGGTGATAACCTCGGAGTCCTCCTTAGAACACATGATGTACCCGATTGAGACTCTGATGTTCACCATGTTGAAGCTCTTGTCCTTGACGAAAGCTCGCCACGATTCACATAATTCACTCGGGAACATTTTGCAATCCTTGGATCTCTTGATCGCTTCCACCAGCTTTTCAAAATTGGCCTTGTCTTTGTCGTTCTTATCCCAAACCAGGAGCTTAACCGATGGAATGCCCTCCTTTCTGGTCAGGAAAAAGATGGACTTTTCGCACAGCACCGTAATCGTATCGGTCAGCTCGTATCCTAGCAGCCAGGTCTGCAGCGAGGTGGATTTGCTGTAATGGTTTCCTCGTCTACGCCGACCGCCGTCAGAAAGCAATCCGCCTTCTGCAGCGAATCATCATGGGAAAACTCTGGTTCCTTCCAGTTGGCGTAGAGGCGTTTTATTCGTCGGTAGAAGGAATCCTTATCGAGCAGGATATTTGACATTTTCGGGGCCGTTGTGAATGCAAACCAAGCTGTCAGAAATATCGGGTTGCCAAATATACCATAAAATTCGAATTTTACAAAAAGTCACAGCTTGCTCTATGACTGGCATAACCGGCACACTTGCGGCACACTGGGAAAAATGTTGACCCAAGATTGGTGTGCGGAGTGATCTACCCCTTGCTTGTTGGTTGGTTTTTTTCAATGTTCGAAAACAAAATCGATTGCTTAAACCAGTTCTAAGTCATTATTATTATTATCTCTATTAGAGAGATTTTCAGCCGTAGGCTGGTTCACCTCTTTATTCGAATAGCTAATACGTTTATTATTCAGTTCCAACCTGGATTGGGTATCAAGATTGGGTCTGCTTGTTTTCTGTCAAACGTCAGTTTGCTCGTTTGTTTTTAAAACCTAGCTCAGATTGAGGTTCACACTGACAAAAAGTTCGCTTTCACACTGGGTTGGAACTGGTGTTAACCCCGATAAAGGGTGATACGGTCAAAATTTGGTCAAGGGAAAACGCGTGTAAATCGGTGAAATCTTTTATTTAAAAAATCAAATTAAATTTCTTTTTCAAGTTCAATTAATATAAAATTCAGGAAAAATATTCAGTTAGGCTTCCGCTTTTCCAAATCCGAATTGCCGGGCCTTACGCTTGACCCCTGCCATCAGATTTTGTACAGCCACCTTGTCCACCTTCTTCGCCGCAGAAAGCCAGTTTGCCTTGAACTGCTGCTCGCCCTTAGCAGTTTTTTTGGTCTTCTTTAGGTTCCGCTTGACAATAGCCCAGTATTTCTCAATTGGGCGGAGCTCTGGCGTGTTGGGAGGGTTCTTGTCCTTGGGAACCATCTGCACGTTGTTGGCGGCGTACCACTCCTTGGCCTTTTTACCGTAATGGCAAGATGCCAAATCCGGCCAAAACAGTACGGAACAACCGTGTTTCTTCAGGAAAGGCAGCAGACGTTTATTCAAACACTCTTTCACGTAAATTTCTTGGTTGACTGTCCCGGAAGCTATGAAAATGCTGCTTTTCAAGCCACAGGTACAGATGGCTTGCCAAACCAGATATTTCTTTGAGAACTTTGACAGTTTCATGTGCTTGAAAACATCTGCTACCTTTCCCCTTCCTTTTGCCGTATAAAACTCCTGTCCCGGAAGCTGCTTGTAGTCGGCTTTGACGTAGGTTTCGTCGTCCATTACCACGCAGTCAAACTTCGTCAGCATCGTCGTGTACAGCCTCCGGGATCGCGCTTTGGCCGTCGTATTTTGTTTATCATCGCGATTTGGAGTCACTACCTTCTTGTAAGTCGATAGTCCGGCTCGTTTTTTGGCTCGATGCACGGTTGTAGACGATACACCCAGCTTATTTGCGGCATCTCGGAGAGAGAGGTTAGGGTTTCGCTTGAAACTACCGGCAACTCTCTTTGTCGTCTCAGCGGCTTCCGGTTTTCGATTTCCCCCCGATCCAGACTTCCTGGCTGTCGACAAACGTTCCCCAAATACTTTAATTACATTTGTAACGGTTGATTTGGCAACTTTTAGCGATTTTGCCAACTTTGCGTGCGAGTAGCTCGGATTTTCGCGATGCGCGAGCAAAATTTTGATACGCTGCTCTTCTTGCTTGGACGGCATTTTGACAACTGAAGAGTGAATTCCAAAATCAAAATAGGAGCAACATTCTACACACACACACCTTCAAAATGAGGGGTGTTCAGGTTTTTTAAATGCAAAATTGAAAGAAATACGTCAAGTTGATATTGACCAAATTTTGACCGTATCACCCTTTAATAATCGAATTCGCTATAAGTGAAACTTGCTCAACTCCCTGTCGAACTGATCACAAAACTCTGACTGAGAAAATTCATTCAAATTACCCTGCAGCGTCAACTCCAGATCAGTGCTTCGAAGAAATGACCAAGTTATCATATTGATGATCTAGTTTGTCGATCGGGATGTACACGCACCGCGCGTATACGGTAGGGGTGGCCCGATTGTTACCTCTCCAAAAGGGGCGCGTGTCCGATTAATTAGTGTTTATAAAAGAATGTTTTCGACAGGCCAATGCCAATTATTTCTCACGGACGCCTCTGCTACAGGCCAATAAATCATCCTGCATCCTCACAAAATCAAAATCACACACGCACACACTCACACACACACACACTGCTCGCCGTTCGGCGCGATTTCGCCAAACAAATGGTCTGCTCTGAGGCTATCCCATGGGGAAGTGAAGACTCCGTAGTGACCGGCGGGAAGAGTGCTAATCAGCTTTTCCGAGAAAACCAGGATAGTCGTTGTCGAGCTTTCACAGTTAATTGCTTTCTGTCGGCTTGTTGGATTAGATCTCGCGCGTTCACCAGTGGTGCGCTTCAGCCTAGTCCAATTTGGCCAATTGAGTGGACCACACTGCTGCTATAATATCTGCTCCGTATGCCACGTGCGATGTGATCAAACGTCAACCGGCAAAGAGTACCCTTTGCAGGTCAAAAGGAGTCGATGCACACACGTGAGTGATAATCAAGCTGACACTTTGCTCTCCCCCACGTGCATGGCATGCTGAGGGAGTTGAAGACCAATCTTCCGCACGAAGGATAGGAATCTACATGAGCTGTTGTTTGTCGCTTTGGCTGATGCCAAGTATGGATTCCATTCCATTTCGCTGGTTATAGATAGGTTAGGTGCGTCGTTGTACCGCCCGCCCTGTCACCAACGACGTTGGTCTGTTCAATTCAAGTACGTTACACTCCGGTGTATGGTTATGCTCGTCCGATGCAGATAACGACGTTGATGGCGATGACGACGGCATCATCGTTTGCGGGAAGACACTCGGTAACGACCATTGATTGGATGGTGAAAACTTACAAGGAAACGAAACGTACAATATCAAGACACAGTTTGCGTTTGACCTTACCGTCTACCTGTATTGGAGAAAAGTTTTCTGAGGCAATAAGCACGGGCACCAGCCAAATACCCTGATCGAGTGGAGGGTAAATGAAGCCTGTTTATTTATATCATTTAATCGGCTTTCTGTTTGTGTTCAATTGCCTCTGTTAATGCGATGACAGGCAAAGTAAATATTGAATTCGAGTATTACAGATGAGATCGACTGTAAATAGAACTAGTATTTAATTAGCTTTTCCTATTATGCTTGACAAACTTTCTCAATATTCCAACGTACCAAAATTAAGTATACGCCGATAATGTATCGCTAAATCACATTAAAAGTGCACTTTGCTTGGCCCCTGAACGAAAACATTCGCAATTATGGCTGAATTCGTCATCAGCTGATGAGCATCCATATGACTGTCATCCAAATAAAGAATGATATTTATTTGAAAATTGGCATACACCGCTTAGAGGACAACAATTGAAGGATCGGATAACTTACAAATGCTTTTGATTAGATTTATAAAGATTGAACACGAAAAAATCTGGACATGAAAATTTTGTTGGGGTTTAAAAAGGCGTTTTATCATCTTTTTCACAAGCCCTGTTCCCACTTGTTTGGCTGCCAAATTACATTTCCGCTTGAAATCCTTCAGGTCAATTGCAGTTCCACCCTTTTTCTTCAGTATGTGCTTCACAATTGACCAGTATTCCT